CACACAAGCTATCTCACCTGTCCAAAACATTTTCAATCGATAGAACTCGGCGCGATCTGGCTCGACAGTTTAATTACGACATCGTAGAATCAAATTGAATATGAAAAATCGACCCAGCAAGGTGAAATTTGCTGATGTCTGTATGTGCGTCTGTGGACGCGTTTCATCTAGGCAAGCTTTTTTCGAGATGGCTCATGCGATCAATATGGTTGATATCTCGTTCGATAGGCCCCATTGCGCCATTGATCGCTATTGATTTTTTTCTCGATCTGACTTCCGGTTTCGGAGATATATAGGCCAGAATGATTTTAGTGAACGATTTTTTAAAAATCAACGGTACACTTTATCAACATGATTTCTTTAACAGTAGAAAGATCTTATCCATATCTACTTGGGGAAAAAATTTCATACCGATCTAACTTCCGGTTCCGGAGGTTTACATGATATAATGATTTTAGTTAACGATTTTTTACAAATCAACGGTACATCCCACGTAAATCCTACGTAAAATTTGCAGCAGTGGAAAGAACTCATCCATATCTACCTACAGAAAAAATTTCATACCGATCTGACGTTTGGTGTTCGAGATTCCGCCTTATTACCTTTGTTACTAGCGTAACATAGGTATTAGAATCGATTTTCACACGTCCTGCCGTCTACGCCCGATAGCCATCCACACAAGCTATCTCACCTGTCCAAAACATTCTCAATCGATAGAACTCGGCGCGATCTGGCTCGACAGTTTAATTACGACATCGTATGATACCTGCAATAATAAATCAAGAATTTGGTTGATACGTGCATGTCGGTTAACCCCTGGTTTTTTTTTTTTTTTTTAAGTCAGAAGAAGGCTTTATGTTTAGTTTGGGCGTTATGATGAGGATAAGAAATCGTTCGCAAAATCTTGGAATGTAGGGGAGAATAGTCCATAAAATTTCAAAATAACTAAAGTTGAAAAGACGCATCTGTGTCACTTGAAAATTCATACATGTAAACCAAACAAATACAAGAAATATAGATCATTCAATTCTTCTAAAAAAATTCGATCAATCCCGTTAGCGTAGCTGTTTGGAGGTGCCGCAGGCTATGGTGCAACATGTTTTCGAATTTTATTCTATATTCTTGCGGAACATTTGAAAAGGGCCTATCCTCGGCCTCTCTCTTTGATTTACCACGGCAACATAAACGAATTTCTCGCTAAGCTCACAGGACAGTTCAACATAAGATGATGTTAGCTGTATAGTCGCTATATTCACAGCCTGGCGGAGAGAATCTCGGGAACCAATTGAGCTGTCAAATAGTCGTTTGACCAATTAAGCTGTCAATTCACGACCAACAACAGAAAAAGGCACATCAGCTATTACGAACAAAACTTCCGGCAGCAGTTTTCTCATGACTTAAGCCTCGCCTACGTAAACTAACTCAAATTTCCCCTATCCGATGATGAAAGTTTTGTTTATAAAACTTGATAGTACCAACCGGTGGAAACTACAAATTGAAAATTGGCTCACTACTTGACTAGCCTACTGGTCCCAAGCAAATTCATTAGCGTACCCCATTCTAGTCGAAATTCTGGTACTTCACTATGTTTGTTTTGATTCGCTATGAAAGATTGACAGATAAAATTAGAGGTTCATGGATTTTCCTATGCATCGATTAGCTTGGGACCGAAGAGCGTACCAGAGCTGAGCCAAAAAGTTGAGCACGTTTCTTCGGGACTTGCTGGTCTTAGAGTTACCTCTATGATAGTACCATCGAAATTCTATCCGCCAGACTATAAATATAGCGACTAATAGTTAGCTTGCGCCTGAATCAACACACTGAATGGGAAATTCATTTGCAGTCGGGTTATTCGCGAAAGAGAAAATCAATTAAGAGAATCGGGCTGATTGATTATTTAACTTTATTGGTTCGTCAAAAATTGTTGTAATATAATAAGATTGTATATAATAAGATTGTGCTTAAAGTATGTAGAGCACAATAAAGCAGATTAAGGTTCAATTTACTTTGATGCTTTTTGGAAAATTTCAAAAGCAGTTTTTTCCGACGAATTATTTCAGATTGTAAAAAGCTCGCACTATTCGATTCCTTTTGAAATTTTACACAAAATGATGCGAGCTTTTTGCAATCTAAACTAATGCGTCGAAAAAAACTGCTTTTGAATTTTTTTTTTAAAAAGTCATTAGGCTATGATTTATGTTTTGGACTTCAATTCAAACTAGCAATTGCTGTTTTGTTTGCAGCAATTGAGCAGTGTAGAAACTGAGACCAATAAAAAATATCCATTAGGGCTCGTACATATATCTATGGATAATATCAAAAACGAGATTATACTGGGTAACAAAGGTTCTATTCACCTGCCCGGTGGATCAATTTGGGTTTTTTTTTACTATACTCACTTCGTTGTCGTGCACGACAGCCTGTTTGTATTGGTACTCTCATGCTTTACCGTCGTCTCGTTTTTTTTCCTTTGTTGAGTACTTTTTCCACTGCGACCAGTTATTTGATCTATTGTGGCGTCGTCTCGCTTACACAACACAAACGGTAGAACAACATTCGAGCAAACAGAAAATTATCAAATAACTATCATATCACATGTGGGATTTCGTTCTAATTCCTAAATTTGGTGTAATTTAAGCCATTTCTGATTATAAATGTTATTATCAGGACATCGTTGCTTGCTATTTTCAGAATTCACACAAGCACAACATCAACAGCTCTTATTATGAGAAAAACTAAAATATATATAAAGAGAGAGAGAGAGAGAGAGAGAGAAGAATTAGTCATTTCCATTTAATTCCACTTTCTTATTTGCTTATCCTTGACATCTTTACTAAGTCTAGTTAGTCGAGTATTATTACAAGACACTGAAGCAGACTGCACATTGTAGACGAAATACGCGTATCTGTCAAGGATAGGAAAATAAGGTAGTGGAATTAAATCGAAATTACTAATCCATCTCTTTATACAGGTATTCCACTAAGACACCCACATTCATCAGGATAAAATACATACATTCGTGGTGGTCTTCGGCGACAGTGTCGTATGACAGAGCCTGTCATATGACATTTTAGTTTGGTGATGTAATTTGGTAGCTTGTTTTGCAAGTGTCGGAAGCAAAGGACGTTGATTGTCATGAGTACGGTGATCGCGTACAAGACTGCTCTTAACCTTACAAATAAAAAGTTAAAACATGTAATTTTGGAGAAAGAAGACTAAAAGGAAGATTTTTTTAAATCTATGAAAATGTCATACCTTTAGAGTGAATGTTTTTGGAGAAATCGATTTTTGTCATGAAATTTTGCACTTCAGACCATAGTGCAATGTAACATTTCCTTAGTAGTTTAAAATCTTAGTTAGTTAGTTAGTTAGTTAGTTAGTTAGTTAGTTAGTTAGTTAGTTAGTTAGTTAGTTAGTTAGTTAGTTAGTTAGTTAGTTAGTTAGTTAGTTAGTTAGTTAGTTAGTTAGTTAGTTAGTTAGTTAGTTAGTTAGTTAGTTAGTTAGTTAGTTAGTTAGTTAGTTAGTTAGTTAGTTAGTTAGTTAGTTAGTTAGTTAGTTAGTTAGTTAGTTAGTTAGTTAGTTAGTTAGTTAGTTAGTTAGTTAGTTAGTTAGTTAGTTAGTTAGTTAGTTAGTTAGTTAGTTAGTTAGTTAGTTAGTTAGTTAGTTAGTTAGTTAGTTAGTTAGTTAGTTAGTTAGTTAGTTAGTTAGTTAGTTAGTTAGTTAGTTAGTTAGTTAGTTAGTTAGTTAGTTAGTTAGTTAGTTAGTTAGTTAGTTAGTTAGTTAGTTAGTTAGTTAGTTAGTTAGTTAGTTAGTTAGTTAGTTAGTTAGTTAGTTAGTTAGTTAGTTAGTTAGTTAGTTAGTTAGTTAGTTAGTTAGTTAGTTAGTTAGTTAGTTAGTTAGTTAGTTAGTTAGTTAGTTAGTTAGTTAGTTAGTTAGTTAGAAACCCTGGTTCAAGCAAAGGTCAATAGGCTTAGATATTATCGCACATGCCGATATTGTCGATTCAAGAGTAGACAATTTACTGACTAGGCGGTTGAAAGACCTGAACATGACACGCTCAGTATTCATTCAAATAGATGACGTCCAACGTTCAACACGGTTTACCCAGCTTAATTCACTGTTTCAAAATGCGACAAAAATGTAACGATTCGTAAAAAATTCTCTAAATCACCAACTTCCAACGAGATCAACATCACAGACATAGGACATGTTGGTCGCGTGTGCCGTTTCTCTTTCGCTGTCGCAGCTGTTGGTCTCAGGGGACACTGTTTTTTTCAAGCTCGATCATAATTTACAACCCGTATCATCGTTCGTGTTGTTGCACCTGTTCACAACGCTTCATCCGTGATTTCGCACGGAATGCGAAGGAAGTAAAATATCGTGCTTGGTCAAGGAAGAACATCTTCGTGTGTGATCTTCTCGGCATTCGTTTCGTTACATTCATGAATGTTTCCAGTGTAGGTACCGCTTGGGAAAGGTTTATTTACAAATCACCTCGAGACGGCGGTGTAATGCGTCACCAGCGACCGAGCGTCTCCGTTTGTTTACCTTGTTTTAAACTACAAGTTGGAAATGGTTCCCTTGCCTCTCTCATCCTAACAGTCGTCATCCGATCAGAAAATCATCTCCTTTCCTTTACTGATGTGGATTCTCATAGACGAACATCTGCACGACCGCCACTGCGTCCATTGATTGCTATTTCGAGTTTCCCGTCCCGTGTATTTAGTTGCCGTATTCGATCGCATAACACTAGCCTCGCTGTTCCCGGTAAGGTGAAAATCAATATGGTGTCAGTAAAATAGTAATCGGAAAAGCAGGGAAGGGAAGAGACAAGTGTTTCGGGAAATGAGCAACCCAGCCGGGATGGTTCAGTCCTAGTTGAAATGGAAACCAATCACTGAGACACTGACTCCTGCCTACATGTGTTGTGTTTCAACCGCAAATCTTCCCCCCTCCTCTAGTTGATGAATTGGGAAATTAGCATCCATTAGCATCATCGCGTGCACTCAACCTTAGCAGCAGTAATAGTGATGGCATCTGGTGAGACGAACGAAAGAAAACGATAAAGAAGAAGATGAAGAAGTATTAAGAAGTCACGATCTCATGATTCGACGGTGTATCGAAGGAAGTTTGAAGAGGACAAGTGAAGAAAATCGGTGTTCTCGGGAAATCTCAAAAGTATTACTGATAAAGTTGAAAGGCAAAGTGAACGAGTGGTGAAGAAGGTGCGCAAGAAGAGACGGGAGCTATGCTAGACCTGCAGCGACACATTGACTGTCCGCTGTGGGAAGTGCTTGGAAGTCCGCTGATACCATGGACCGGAATGCGATATGCCTGCATCAAGGTGCTACACGCGTACTGCAAGGTCTTTGACCAACAGGAACTGTACGATCTGGTTGTAAGGTAATTGTTTGGTGTTTTCTGAAAAAAAAAAATATATGAGCGAAAATGAACATAAGCGCTAATCATGGGGGCCTCCTTTAGCTCAGTCGGTAAAGGTGCAGCTACAAAGCAGACCATGCTGGAGGTGGCTGGGTTCAATTCCCGGTCCAATCTAGGAATTTTTCGGGTTGGAAAATTTCTCGACTTCCCTGGGCATAGAAGTATGATTGGACTTGCCACACAATTATACCAATGCAAAAATGGTACAGGCATCGAAAGCTCTCAATTAATAACTGTGGAAGTGCATCTAGAACACTAATTTGAGAGCTCGTAATAAGCTAATATGCGATAAGCAATAAGCTTGAAATGCGAAGAAGAAGAAGCTAATCATGGCTGCAATCGTTTCATTTTTTTTCCGATAGCATACATTTTTGAAAAAATGGTAGATATTATTTTGATCTTTAGATTATTGAATACAGTTTTTGTTTTTCGTTGGCTGAATGTAGTATCATTTTTTTTAATAACGAAATAATTTGTTTACGGTAGCAACCCAAGTGGCAGCTTTAGAAATATGTGGAATAAATTTTTTTTTATTAAATTTATCATCCCAATAAACTTAGGACAATAAACTGATTTAGACAAAAGTTAGAGCTACACCAGCAATTGAATGTGATACAGTGGGGATTATAGGAACAAAAATAGTTGAAACTGGCTGCTGCTGTAATCCTAAATATGTTATATCTAAAATATATGTTTTCGTTATGGAAAAAGGCCAAGCAATCGGTCCCGCTTGCGCACCCAACGATAACTATGTAAGTGTTTTGGTGCTGTTTTGCCCCATGCTCCCGTATATGTTTTAAACGTTGTTAATAATCTATTTAGTCAGTAGATTTATGTAAATGTTACCAATTAATCATGTTACAATGCTTCTGCGTTAATTTTCCTTCATATCTTACTGCTGTTCTCAATAATGACATCTTTAGGAAATTACGCTTCTCCTATGTAAAAAATTTTACGACAAAAATGCTTGCCAAGCTTCGCACCTGAATGGGAACTCTAATTCAGGGCTGGTAGCGAGTCACTTTTTAGTAACTTGGTCACTTTTTTTCAAGTCAGTCACTAAAAAGTCTCTTTTTTAAAGACTTTTTTAGCGTTAATTTATTTTAAGATTTATCACTCTTTGCTTTGTGACGTTTAATCAGTTTTCTCTATCGACAGGGTGTCTACTCATATTTCTAAATAAAATTACTTTAATGGATACATTCCAGGCTTATAATAAGAAAGCTATTTTTTAAAAGCGTTAAAATATGCTTTTTTGTAGATCAAAACAATAGCAATTTACCCAAACGTTTTTAATACATGGCAATCAGTTTTAAAGAAACAGCTTTACAATCGAATCCATTGAATGTTGAAGTTTAACACTTAATTTCTCCCTTTATAAAGTTAAAAAAAAACAACTTACCTAATTTGAGTAAGTCCAAGATCTAAAATTATTCAATATCTTGAAGTTTCGCATTCCATGTACACCACACTCACAAATGGCTTGCCAAACCATTTTTCGGTAAAAATCGGCTTATCCGCGACGTCAACACTTCGGTCGTCACGAACGTTCATCGTCCACAATCACGCACACCGATTTTCCGCACAGCAATTGGTCGTATAACTTCCGAGCCCTCAGTCCGCATCGTGCTCTCTTGCCGTGCGAATCTATTTGCTTTTTGCTGAAGGAAGTGCCATTACTACCTAAAGCTACAACAAATTTAAACAGCACTTTTCAGTGCTCAACATGTAAAATTTCTACCTCTTATTCCTCTTCGATCCTTGTTTGGACCCTACCCGTGGTAATCCTTCTTGGATATCGATTTGGAAAATTCCTCTTCGATCCTTCAGATTCTTATAGTAATCTGCTTGGAAGTCGATTTGGATAAAAATTTACTGCCGCCATGGTGCTTAAGCGCAAGAAAAGGGCAAACTCTGGATCCCCCTTCTGATGAAATTAATTTGAGCAATCAATTTGTTTTGCTCACGGATGATGAGAATGATCATCTAAGAAAAATTCTAGTAAACTTTCCCGGCTTAATGGCAAGAAGGAAAAGATTCCTACGACACCAAAACTGAACGTGTGTTCAAGGTTGTCATGAAAGGACTGCCCAGGGGTGAATCCCTGGATCAGATCAAAGATGAACTGGCAAGTAATCCAAGTAATCAAAATGAAAATGAAATCCTGTCCTGGCGATTCGCGATTCGGGATTTCTAATGATTTTTATTTAGTTCACTTCAAGTCTAGTGAACTTAACAACCTTCAGGCCTTGGAAAAAGCTAGCCTTATGCTCCATGTCCGAGTAAAGTGGGAAAACTTTAGGAAGACTGGAGGAAATTTCCAAAACCTCACCCAGTGCCGTAAGTGTCAGGGATGGGGTCACGGAACAAAACATTGCTACATGCCAGCTAAATGCATGAATTGTGGTGATTCCTCTCACGCAAAGGACGACTGTCCTGTGAAGGAAGATCCTAAGAAATTTAAATGTTCAAATTGTGGTGAAAACCACAAATCCAATTTTGGTTTTTGGTTTCATTGGAAGAAAGATGCTTGAATTCTTTTGCCACAGTATTCTGAGTGCAGTAGTTCTAAAGCCTGAGCCAGACATACTATAACTTGTTACGAAGATACTTGAAGATAGAAAAGCAGATTCAAGCCATTAAAAGAATGACCGATCTAAAACTCCTTGCATACCCGATCATGCTTGGCATGCAAATGTTCGACACCGGACACAATCAACGAAATTATAAACTCATGAAATGATTGGTCCAGACATAAATTAAAAATAATATCTGTATTTGTGTTAACCAGGTACACAATATTAATCAGAACATCGTAGAATACCTTGGTTAGCCTGTAAAATATAAAGATCTGAATCTATACCTCCCACGACAAAGTCGAAGTACTTAACTATCTTGGAGATAAATCGTCCAGCTCAAACCTAGGGGAAATCATCCTGAGTTCAAATCACACGAATGTTCCAAGAGTGTTCAAGTGACTTTGATAATAATAATAAAAGATCTGAACCCCTGGCATTTTGGAAAATCTAATAATAAAAACCAATGATATTATGGGGCTTCACGAAGGTTTACCCATTCTATCATTATGTAGAATCATCGTATACCTTGTTGAGTTTGCAGAACTTCAAGAGCAGATATCCGGGATGATTTTGATAATCCAAAAAGGTTTTTTTTTTAACAAAATTTATAATTATAAATGATTTTATGAACTCAAAATGCTCAAAACTGCTCAAAATGGTTAACTTGTAAAATATCTCCTAGACAATTTGGAGAAATATATTTTTTTTGGTAACACATCTTTGTATCCCAAAAAATGTTATTTTACTTGCAGAATTTCAAGATATTTATAAACTCCAGGAAAATTTTAAGAACTTTTAATACTGCGGTTCTCCTGTTCAGGTAACTTGTTTTGATATATCTCGATTACTTTTTCGAAGAGTCGTATCAGTTTTTGTAAACAATGCATTTGATCGTCGATTTGGCATAGCTGGTAGCTCGCACACGCTTACTAACACCACTTGCAGGTGGGGGAAAATTTCCCATATCTGATGGTAGTGTTAGCATGCATGGGCGAGCTACCAGTTACACCAAATCGACGATGAATTGCGTTGTTTACAAAAGCTGATACGTCCCTTCGAAAAAGTTATCGAGATTTGCTTTTTTCGACACACAGCTACAACATTTAGGCTCATTTTTTGCAGGAGAATCTTTGATTGTATACAAATTCATGATTCCATGAGATGTTGGAGATCTAGATCATAAACATATCAATACAAATCTCATCTCATTTTTTTAACAAAATAGACTATTGTAGAGCAATTCTGTAGCAATTTTGCTGAACAAATATATGATTATCTATAAACGGTTATTTTTGATCGCCTGTTTAGTTTAAGGTAGTGGTGATTTTTAAGTTGGGTTTGTTTTTTAATAATCGAGAAAAAACCGGGAATTGAAAAATTCGATTTGAATGATAGGTACAAATATCACCTCTGCTTCAAGTTGGTCATCTATACCTTCTCCCCTCGCTGTTAACAATATTCAGCGAGTTAATGGAGCAACCTATGCTGCTATTGCAGCGGGTAGAAATCAAAATACTAACCAACGTAATTCTAACGGAAATTTTGAAAATTTTGACTTAGGAAGCATTACTGCTCCTAAGCTGGAATTTTTGCAGAAATCATTAATTGACATGATAACTGACATGCTTTAATCTAACTCCATGTTTGATGCTATTCAAACTGGAGTAAAATTTGCAAACAATATTGCAATGACTTTGAAATTCAGCAACGGATTTTAAATCATTAAATATTTTAAATTGGAATGCTCGATCTCTTAAAGATAATGAAGACGAGCTATTTATCTTTTTGAGAGTTCATAACGTGCATATTGCCGTTATAACTGAAACGTTCCTTCCCAAAGTTTTTGAAGTTCTAGGAGTTTCTGATGAAACAAAATTTGGAAAATTTACGTTTATAGCTGCCTATTGAAAATTTCAATGCGTAGGCCATGCAACAGAATTTTCTCAAGGCTGACCTACAGAAACTTACCCGCCATAGGTCTAAATTCTTCATTATTGGCGATTTCAATGCAAAACACCGCTCATGGAATAATGCTCAAAGCAATTCCAATGGTAATACTATGTTTGATGATTGTTCTGCAGGTTATTACACTATTCAATATCCAAACAGTCCAACATGCTTTTCATCAGCAAGAAATCCCTCAACTATTGATATGGTCTTAACTGATTCATGTCAACTTTGTAGCCAATTGGTTACCCATGCTGACTTCGGTGCTGATCACCCTCCAGTAACGTTTGAAATATCCCAAGAAATAATTTCTAACCCCAACATACATTCAATTACCATAGAGCAGATTGGGAGCAATATTGAACATTTATGGAATATAGCTTAGATCCAAACATTCCTTTGCAAACCAAAGATGAAATTAATTATGCTCTTGAA